CAAGCCTGTCTTTTTCCATAAGCAGCAAAGGATAGTACATGGATGGACCATTAGCTGTAAGACTTGCAAATTAAACATTTGGAAGTGCTAATAAGCTCTGAAGCTCTCTAGCTGTGCCTCTAACCCTAGAGCCAGCACTCTAACAGGAGAGAAGCAGATGCTTCTCTTCCTGTTCTCCCTCCAGCTCTCCGTGTGGTGATAAGAAACTTGGATACCTTCCCCTACCGAGAGCTGCAAGGTCATCCAAGAGATGAGTGTGGGCGTGAACGATGCTCTGTTCTCCTCTGCTCAGTGTCCAGCAATGACGTCTGCTGTTTGTGCTCTAAATGCAAGGATGCTACAGAGGAGCTGTATCGAGCTCTAGCTCTGATTTCAGCCAGAGGAAGCTGCAGGGAGCACACTTTAATTACAGGTCTGATGTGGTTCAGTGGACAGTGGGAATATTCTTCAATGTAATGGATGTGAGCATACGTGACATCAGAAAAAAAACAAACCAAGCAAAGCAAACCAAAACAAAACCCCTTGAAGTGAAGACTGGATAGACCTTCTACTACCAAATGTTTTATAATCTATGCATTCATCATGCCTTCATTTAATAAAATCTGCAATGTAAAAAGGAAAAGCCAATTAAAAAGCAAAGTCAAATCTCCTCAAAAATGACCAAAATTCACCTATTGCTATATCTTAATCTATTCTCACCAAATTTCAGAGCAACTAATGAAAAATAACTACCCATGATTGAAAGTCTGAGCAGTGGGTATATCTCACAGTCTGGCAGGTCCTCAGCTGTCTGGAGAGACAGGATGTACCTAGTTAATGCAATGTACTGTTCACTGGAAACAGTGAACACACTTCAAAAATTGGAACCAGCTGTCCTAACCAAGAAGCAGGATAGACCCTGTACTGCTCTGAAAGTATGTAAACACCTACGAGCCCACATTGTGTTCACATCACAACTTTCAGTGACAGCATCATTTGCAGTATGAATGCCCATAATGCATCCATGACCATAGTCAACAACAAGGGAGGCTTATCTTTTAACCAGTCTGCAGTAGAGCATGAAAAGAAACTTTGAAAACCCTTTTTAATATAGGAGTAGGATTAAATACTGACACCTTCCTTTTTCACCTTCCTACACAACTCATCTAGAGTGAAACAGAACTGAGCGCCAAACCTCAAAGGACATTGACATTATTTCCCTCAGAATACAATGTATCCCAGAGATAGTTTCGAAACATTGCTCTTTGAACTTTTAAAAAAGTCCTCTTAAGCCAGTTCTTGGAAACTGATAAACCAGAGAACCCAGAGTCTACATCTGCTGTCTGTACAAATTAGGAATTACTCAATCACTGAAATTGAGATCATCAGAGCAGCAGAGGTGAAAGAGGACCTGTGTTGTCCATGCTCCCTCTCTTCTTCCCCTAAATCTAACTTATATTGAGCACAAAGGCATGCATATAAAGCCAAACATACTTCTACATAATGACTTTTCAAGGAAAAATGAGTTTCCAATGAAATAAGTTTTCACTTGTTTCTTTTTTCACTCTATGTGCATGATTATTTTGCTCATTTTTTTGGTATGGCTTACTCATAATTCTGTATTTGCCTGATAGTGTGCAAGTTTGATAAAGAGGATGCTAAAACACAGCCAGATGTTTTCAGAGGCAGCCTGTTTTTAAATAATTCCAGGGGATAAATGCACTTCTTCCTGTGGTGGGAAAAAAGATGGTACTAGTTTTGACAAGAACCAAAATCTAAAAGAGAGAGGGACATTCCAGGAAATATTGGGAAAAGATGATAATTATGAGAGCCCTCTACTAACAATTGATTTTGAAATACCAAAAAAAGAGATGTGAGACTAGGGGAAATAGAGGAGGCCTTTCCCTGGCATTTTCATGGCTGATAGGTGACCTGTGCCAGGAGGACTTGCACACTCAGTTTCAACTTACCAACCCTTCCTGAAATCCCTTCATGTACACATAATCACATAGCACAAGTCATAGTTGTGCATGTGGCCAGCCTTACAGAGCTCCCCTTCCTGCTGCTGGTCAGGCCAATCCACACATTGCTTTGCATTAGGCTTATCAAGTTATTATAGTGGCTATTTCAGCTTTTCTCTTCAGCTATTTTTCTTTTTCTCCAAGATTTTCAGGACTTACAATAACTCCTGTATTTCTGTTTTGCTACATTAACTAATGCTCCATGGCTTCATGCCATTATCCACTGCCTTCAGCTCCACAGAATTCAGGCAAAGCTGACTATAGAAGGCCGCCAGAAGAATAAATCATAAACCACATTACATTTCATATATTGTTATATGAAGTTGAATTATTTCACTGCAACCAGGAGCATTATTATTATTTTAGACAAGAAAAGAAGCAAGGATATACAAGCAAAGCCATTTTGTTTCTCTTAAAAATTTTGATATTTACATAAAACTCATTATTGGGCAACTCACTCATTCACACCTTAAATTCAATTGTCTACAAATTCATTCCTTTTTAAATGCCTTTGGCTGTTGTGTCCTTGAGACTCAGTCAAGCCATTTTTATGACTTCTTGGTTTTTATATTGAGTTTCTCATGGCACACTAAAAAATAGGAGGTTTTTTGTGGTGCGCAGAAAGGATGTTCCTTGCTCTGTCTAACTCAACAGACTATTGCAGTTCTATATTCAGCTTGTAGCAGAAATCCATCCCTTTCCTAGCAACTCCTTCTCTCCACCTGGTATGGCAGCTTGCTGAATAGCTGAGGTGCAGTAGTGGCATTCAGAAGTGAAGAACATACTAAGAAGGGAAAGAATTTGGGAGGATATTGTGGTAGAAATCAATGCTCACAGGAAGAGATGAAAATGTAAAGAAAGAAAATTGCTGAGCTAGGGCTCCTGAGGCATGAAAAGAGAAGGCTGTTGGAGGATAGGAAAGAAATATCCCACTACATACAGGAATCTGTCTGTATTTTCGTAGTATTGGAGCAAGTATTAATACTCCTATGGAGTGCAATACTGAGAGAAGAAATAAGAGCTTATATACTTCATGAAGACAAAATTCAAGTATTGAGTGATTTGAAATCATGTGGTTTCAATTATGGTTCCATACGAATTCATAATGGTTTCCATCAGTAAAGCGTGAACTGGAAATGCACCATATTGTCAATCTGCCCTTCAAATCCTGTCAGCAGAAAACCCATCCAGCTTTTAGTTTAAACTCAGTGAACTGAATTCACACTCATTCAGCTTCTACTGTCATGTTCTCAGTTTTGACAATATTGGTGTGTCTGGTTTTTTCGTCATTTCAGTGTTCCAGCATAATTGTATCCTTCAGTCAATTGCATTTGTACTGACAGAAAAGAGTTAAAAATTATTCAAAGGCACTGTAAGCAGAAAAGCCTGCAGTTCACTTTTAACTTCACATTGGTTTGGGGTTTATATGTGGTGAATGTCATGCATTAAACACATAGTTATTAAATCCACATTAAATAAATAAGTGCCATGAATTAAGGTAACTTGCTTACTTTCTTCAGGCACAGACACCTGCTCACACTTGCAATAAGAATAACTTGAAAACTTTTGCCCAATGTCCTCAAATGCACTCCTGCTTTTCCCCAACAGTAAACCTCATAGTAGACTTCATCCTCAGCTGGTCTAAATCAGATAAGTTTCACTGAAGTATTTTAATTTTACAATAAATTAAGAAGTTCAAAATAGCACATAAAATTTTGGAAGCAGTTTCCCAGTTTTTCATAGCATTTAATCTGCTAGTAACTGTATCTGTCAATATAACCTCTTACTTCAATCTACTGTGTTAGAATTGCGAGCCCTTTTGTGACCTTACCTCAAGGACATTTTGGCTTTCTGATACACCCCACTGCAAACTAAACTAGTCTAAGTATAACATTTCAACAAACTCTTAAAAAACTTACTAATGGATTTTCTTCCATTCTGAAAAGTCCATTAGACAAGACTAATCATGCCCAGAATCTGCTATTATAAATGAAGAAACTTTCTGTTGAGATCAGGAAACTTGAGTAGGCTCCTTTGTGCATGCCATCCTCTTTGCCAACCAACAAAGCTGAAGCTCCTGTGAAGATGACTGCTACCAGGCAGAAGCAGAGTAATTTGAAAGGATTTTTGAGGAATTTGAAGAATGCAATCTTCCTCAAAGAATGAGAGAAATATTTTGTATGATAAGAAAAAAGAAAAGCCATTCCTCTAATGACAAATAGAAACCACTGTCTTGCTTAACTGTTCTTGTGAGTTTTCCTGGTTAACACACTTTTCTTGTGACATTTCTTGTGATTTTCTTGGATAACACACTCACACACACCGCCATGGAGTTCAAGAGGACAGAGGCAAGACCAACAGCATGGAATACCTGAGCACATGAGCAATCCCAGTAGTTACTGAAAAGGAGTGTCAGCTTCCCAACTACTTTCAAAAACTGGCAGGTTCAAAGCCTGCTACAATTTTGTCTACATTAAAAATTTAAAAAAACTTTTCTCTTAGTCTAACAACATAGTAAAAATGAAAAAAAATTCAAAGATCTTCCCAAGTCAACCGAACATGCATTATTTAAAGGGACTTGCAACTCCCTGTATTTTTTTTTCTTCTTCCTGCAGCTGTAACAGAAATCCATAATGCACAATTTTGTAGACTGTGTGCCATTTCTCATGCAATGTTAGTGCTTCTAAACTGAATGGCTGTTTAACAAGAATCTGGACCTTTGAGTGAAACTGGCTCTGACTATCTGAGAGATAAGTTTTGAAAGAAGTCTCATGCAAACAAGTCTTCCATAAACATGGGAAGAAAAGCCAGAAGTAGTGAAAGAGAAAAGAAAAATGTTTTACAGAGGTGCCTTTTACATGACATAGCATTATTCCATGTGAGTCATTGCTGTGTGATGCATGCAAGCATTGGCCAGCAATAAAAGTAGAATTAGACATCATACAGATAATAAGAACATCCAAAGCTCTTTTTGAAAAGGTTAAAGATAGATATTCTTACCTTAGCTCACAAACTAATGAAACAGCCAGGAGGAGGAACTTTCTGAAAGGCAGGTTAGCTATCTGTCTGACCTTGCATATATCTCTCGGATGTTGGCTCTGCTAGGACCGGATAGTGAACTGAATGAGCAATTCTTTCCAGCTCAGAGATAAATACAGAGTTCCTGCTGTTATCTCTGGTGTTCCCAGGTATTTTCCAGAGGCCCCTTGCACATGCATTACATACCGTTACTCATTGCACCACACCCGTCCCCATGGCTCCTGAAGACCTCGTGCTTCCAAGGGTTTCTCTTGCTGTCAGCTGACCCTGGACACTCCAGGATGAGGGGTTCCCAACACAGAGCTGCACCAGTTGTTATGAGCTGAGTCTGCAAGAGCTCAGCCCATTTCTCCTCTGAGCTCTCCGAGGGGAGCACTCAGCGGGGCAGTGTCTGCAGCCCCGCTCAGACAGAACTGAGCTGTGCAGCCACACACAAGAGCTTCTCAAGAGCCACTGGACACCAAAGCACACTGCAGAGCAGCACTATGCCAGAACAATCATATGCAAAGGGCCATGTCCATCTTGAGGGAATGGACCCAAACCCAAGCCCATTTGCAAACCACACGCGCAAATGATCCCTCTCTTTACCCTAGACTGAACCCAAGACTCAGCTATAAGCACCTTTAATAGTGGAAGTTGTTCAAATTGGGATCTGAATCAAAGATTACGGGCACAATCTATGTTTAATATTTGGTCATATTTTGCTCACTGTAACACAGTGTGAAGGCCAATGCTACTCTTCTTTCTAATTGCTTGGCGTCATGCTGTTGGATGGAAAACAATGTTCCTATATAGTCAAGATCTCTGGTTTCCAAAATACATCTCTTCTTCTCTTTTTTTTTTTCGGAATATCAGAACAACTGAGCTATAGGTAAGAGAATGCTTTCATTAAACACACAATCAAAATGTCAAATTCTAATATCCTAGTGGAATAAGAGGCTGAAAGCCTGAAGGATGCAGTCACTTGTAACTTAAGCTACTAACACTCCAGAGAGTACTGACAGTTTTCCAGCAAGTGAAGCACTAGGCCCCTCTGTACATGAATAGGCTGTATCCTCCAGAGGAGCTCAAGCTGCAAATGCCAGCATGATTTTCCCAGAAACAAAGTATGCTTCATAGCAGCATTCATTCCAGGCTGCAGGAGGGACAACACCAGAAGGCCAAAGGAAAATCAGCATAAGGACCAAGTGATTTATAGCACTCATCGAAGGCAGTGTTATTACAAAATGAGGAAAATGTCTCCTCTTTCAGCACTTTAATCACTTGGGGCAATGTAGATGCCAAAGGCTCACACCTTTGTATGCAGACCTATAATTACGAGACATAAAGCAGAGGAAAGAGACTAACGACTTAGCTGTGCTAAATGAGAAAAGCTACAACATCAAGCAAAGTCTCTCACTAGTCAGTTTGAAGGACCAGGTTAGGGAACAAAGTAAACTCATTCTCAGTTTATACAGAGCACTTCTGAAGCTTTTCACCCTGCTGTGGTGTTCTGCAATACAAATTTCTCTCTTCTGCTGGCACAAGCAAGTAGCAGTGCAATAGTATCGACAGGAGCAATGAGATCAGCAAATACTTTGATTTCTACTTCACCATCTGCTTTTTCTCTGTTGAGCCTCTCCTGATAGTTGGAGAATCATTAGCTATAAAGCTGTTAGTTTTCTGGGGTTGGATTTGTTTTTTCTTTTTACTTGCTTTCAGTGCCAATTCAGTAACTGCAAAGCTGCCTTATGAAATAGCTCCTAGAAACATGCCCTCTAACCAAGAAACTGGGCTGGTTCCTCATGTGCTCCCTCTTGCTTTCCTGAATGTAAATGTACCTACTTTCCACACCAAGTTAATTATTTGGTGCTGAACGAACTCAAAGTAGATCACTTTGCCTAGCTGAGACTTAGGTGAACAAGAAAGCAATTTACTGGTAATGGTCAAAATGGGTGATAAATAAACTGAGGTAGGGGATGGAGGACAAATAAAAAGTCACCAGTCCAGGATTTGCAAAGCTACAGAATCCAGAGTCACATCTGAAAAACTGGACAGATCACATGAAAAAGGAAGATTATTGGTATATGAATTCATATTCTTCATAAGAAAAAAAAAAAAACAAACAAAAAAAACCCAACCCAAACCAACCAAACAAAAAAACCCAACAGAGATAAATAAACAAACAAAAAACACCATCCCCCAAACCCACTTTATTTTCTAATTACTTCCTTTGGTAATGAAAAATCACTCTCAGCGTTTATGCGTGCTGCCACTCAGACTCCTGGCTGAAACTAAAAACACAGATGGGGAGTATAGGATCTCACCCTTGGAAATGCCACTTTGTGTTTCCAGGTCTTTTCTGCACTTGATGCTTAAAACATACAAAGCAAGGATTGCCATATCAGAGCAGACTTCTGATCCACTTATCCAGTAAAAACTTGTTGGATAACCTATCTGAAGAAGGAATGTCTTGCTTACTCCAGACAGTCGCTGAACTATATTCTGAAGTCCAGGTACTTATCCAAAACTAATTCAATGTTCCCACTATATAAACATGGCTATCTCTCGATGCCTGCCAAATTTTTTTCCAACAGCTCATACCACAATTACCTAAAGAACTTCACCATAAATTTGGATGTTTCAGATCCTGACTGAATTGTCCAGACTCATCTTCTGATGAAAATGCCTATGAATAGTTATAAAACATGATTTAGAATACTAACATATAACAGCATTGTCATGCCCAGTACAGAGTAAATAGATAAAGCATTAATTCTTGATCAAATTAATGTCTCTTAATGAAATGGATTATCAATGGCATGCAGGAAGAACAAGCCTTGATTTGCACTTTGCTTCCAACAGAAAATATGTTACTACAGTTACAAATGTGTTTTAGAGATCTGGTGGAAAATTAGGTTATAAGAACTAGGGAGCTATTCAGCCTGGATTTCAAAACTCAGTTCTGGTAATATTATTATATTAGTATATATTAACTAATATACATCCATATAAGATAGAATAAAGCCAATCTCCTCTGACTCATTAATTCAACTCCTGTCTAAACAAATTAAGAGAGAAAGTTAGCTATTCGTTAGAATGGAATGGAATGGAATGGAATGGAATGGAATGGAATGGAATGGAATGGAATGGAATGGAATGGAATGCAATATTTCAGCTGGGAGGGACTTACAACAATCATCCTCTCCAACCACCTGACCACAAGTCAAAGCATGTTGTTAAGGGCATTGTTCAAATTCCTCTTAAACACTAGCAGCCTTGGGGTATTGACCACCTCTCTAGGAAGCCTAATAACTGCTCCCCTAGTTCCTTAGGAAGCTCTCTCTGATAATGGGATTTAAATTATGGGAAATAAATAGGACCCCTCTCAAACTTATGTTGTTTTGCAGAAGAAATAATGTTCCAGGCTTTCCTAGAGACCTTTCCTATCTATAACACATGTTTTAAAGGGCAAAAGACATGAAAGAAAGTCTCTGAGGTGCAGATACAATGTCAAAATGTTGCCAAATATCTGTGGAGTCGAGATTCTTCGAGAAACACAGCATCAGCAAGTACAGTACTCTGGCTAATTGACTGCAGCTGATCTGATTTGTGTTTACTAGCAAAAACACAATTTGGTTTTTTTTGTTTTTTTAGAGAAGTTTTTTCTTTTTGCCTTCCCCTAAAATGTAGAGCTTTTAAAGATGTCCATCCCTTTCAGTTTGCATCTCAAGAGCATTTTCTCAGAAGAGGAAATCTGGTGCCAGGAAAACAAAACATCTAGTTAGTGCTTCTGCTTGCAGACAAAGCAAAGAGATCAGCAGCCCATCAAACACTGCATGCCTCCCCTCTTCTGGCAGAGCAGCAGCACACAGAACAGAACAGCTCGTGGTGAAGGGACACCCATCCTCCCCAGGGCTGCCGGTCCCGAATCTGCTCAGGCATTACAGTTTTCTCCACCCATTTTGCATTTTCAACCTCTCCTTAGCAATTTGTCCAAATGAAATACAGAACCTGGAACGTAAGCCCACAGCATACATGATGTACAGACTTTCTCAGAAACTACTCACAAAACCCAAAGAGCTGTGGAACAGAGGTGAAAAATACCAACATCCACTTAAAAATAAGTAGATAATGGCTACACTTTCCTGTAAGGAAAGCTTAAAACTACATTACTTCATTTATCCAAAGACTGGGGGCCCACACCTCTCAGAGGAGACATCCTTGACAGCCAAAGTGGGCAGGCTTTACTGGGAAAAGTCTCCCAGTCATGACAGACAAGCAAATAAATTAACTAATAAAAAAAGAAAAATCTTTTATCAGGCAGTTAAAAAAAGATCATTTAACTGCCTTTTCCCAAAGCTCCCTTTAGGGCTGCATATTAGAAAAAGATTAATGGTGTGCTATTTAGCACCACCTTGTGCTGACTTGTCCTTTTCAAAGGAATGCAGTCAAGGGAGAAAAACACATTCAGTCTTGACAACCCAATCATAAGGTACAGGGTAAAACACTTGGGTGATTGGGTTGGGTTTGTTAGATTGGGATTTTTTATCACAACAGCAATTTCAGAATGTAATCAGCAAGAGCAAGAATTGCTATATTATATCATATAAAAATTAAACCAACCAAACAAAACCCCCCAAACCTGTACAGGCAAGAGAGCACTTAATCATAAATAGGAGCAAAATCTTACCGTTTTTACTTAATTGTTACATATTAACAAAGCAGGCAGATTATTATATTTACTATACTACAGACAATCTTGTAAAACTGCCTCTAGAATAAATCTTTACCATATGTAACTAGTGAAATTAGATATCAGTGTAAAAAATACCAGTTTACTTAAACCAACTAATTTTGGAAAAATGTGAGAGGGAAAAATCTGATTCTGAAGCCTGTGTGCCACAAATTTAAAACATCAGGGCTGATCTCCCTGTGTCCATGGATGGAATTACAGAGTTCTGGTCTCTCTACCTCAACCTTTCAGTGTTGACAGTGATGCTCACAGCCCTGCTGATAAACAGACCTGTGCATCTGTTATCCTCAGAGTACCTCTTTGGAGTAGGAAAGTGCTACTATCT